GGGGACTGCTCCTTCCCTTGGACCATCTTTTACAGTGCCTAGTCCTGGTGGTCCACCTGATCCCATGTCTCCAGCCCATTCCGTTGTGGATTCCCCAGAGGGAAGTTTGGATTTTGTCGATGAGCCTCAAGTTTTAGCTTGGATAGTGGGAAAACTCCACCTCCCTATGTCTCAGAACCCAGAGGATTTATCTCATTCCTTCTCCATGAGACAACGAGACTTGACATCTAATACCTTCCCACCACGGTCTTGTATTGCTCATGTCACTACCTCCTTGGATCATGCCTTTAAAGTCTTAAACGGATTAAGGATGGCCTATCTTCACCTAGATTTTCGCTACCAGCAGCTCACTCCCATGGTTTTCAGTCCTTGGCTACTACCCCTCCGGTGGATGAGGATGTCCAAACACTTTGTTGGAAGAGGTCTTGTTCAGCTTTTTTAGTTGAAGATAGAGAACTGTCTCATATGGATATAGCTGTTCGTCGTTCCTTTCCCTCAATCAACTGCATCATCTCGGCGGTGGACGCGATTGTGGCGTCAGTGGAACACTCTTTCACCGATCAAGATACTTACATCAGAGGTTGTATGTCTCTTATACTGGACCAGTTTCAGATCGTACTTGACCAGTTGTCTTATTTCCTTGGCTATCTCCTGGCAGTTCGACGTCGCGGCCCACTCAATTTGTCTTCATGGGATGACAGGTTTAAGGCTGTTTGGCTCTTCCATCAACCATGGTCTGCAGAATCCTTATTTAATGGCGTGATTGGAGACGTTTCGACGAAGGTGGATCGGGACACTCAATTTCAAGTTTCGGTGGAATTATTGAAACTCCAGAAGTCTCATCTGCAAAGTTCTATGATACAGAGGAGGCCTCCATGGTTCTCGCCATCTCATCCGGAATTGCGTCAGGGCTTTTGTGGCCATTCGTCCCGAGCTAGAGGTAGCAGGTCCTCCCGTGGTCCTTCTTCCCGACGTCCTCCCAAGTCCGACTCCCGAGCCGTCAAAACAAGGGCACGACTGGGAACTCCCACCTCCAGCCGTCCCCATCTACGTCTCTCCAGTGGGCGGGAGACTAGGGCGGTTCGCTCCCAACTGGACCATACTCGACGATCCGTTCGTGACCGACCTCCTCGCCACAGACTATCACCTTCCAGTCATCGGCCATCCACCGCTGACAGTGCATCCAGTAACCGCAGTTTCCTGGCAGACCAGATCCAGGTTCTTCACTCCGCTATAGGTACGCTCATAGAGAAATGTGCTGTCCAGTCTCTAGGTCCGGCGCCCATCACTCCAATTCTATTCCCCCATCTTTCTGGTACCCAAGAAAAATTCCACAAACCTAAGACTCATTTTCAACATGAAACTTTTCAATGCCAACTATCTCCAGCGCCCATCTCACCTCCAGATGGTGTCGATTGTCTCCGATTCGTCTTCCAAGGGATCCATTATCAATTATCAGTGGCTATTTACCAGGATCACCAAGCCGATCACCAGGTTTCTTCATCTTCACGGAGTTGTGTTCGAAAGTTACATAGACGACTGCATTCAGGCACAGTGAGACCCAGTCGTTCTTCTACGTCACTTGGAGTTCAGTACGAAGTTATTCCGGACACTAGGTTGGTTGTTAAACACTGCAAAGTCGGAACTAATACCGACCCAGAACCTTCAATTCATTGGAGCAACTTTCGACACACACCAAGGCCTGATTTTCGACCCTCAAAACAGGTGGCTGAAGATTCAACGGCTAGTTCCGTTAGCTCTGTCGCAGGCCAGGACCTTACGACAGTGGCAGGAACTGTTGGGACTCTTTGACGTCGGCACAGGCATTGACACGGCAGGGACAATTACAACTGCATCCGTTGCAGCATTTCCTGCATCCGTATCTTGTCTTAGAGAATCTCCAGGAGTTGATTCGTCTTCCCGAACCCTTACGTCCTTTTCTTCAGTGGTGGCTTGTCGAACGGAACGTTTGTTTGATGCCGTTCGTTCCAACACACCACTTGTTCGTCAACGTGTCGCTCACAGGGTGGGGGGCACATTTTCATCATCATCAGATAGCCGGGCTGTGGTCATCCGCAGAACGGGACTTGCACATAAACGAACTCGAGTTCTTGGCGGTGCTTCCTGCCTTTTGACATTGGGCGACAGAACTTCGGGGGTCCTCCCTGCTGTTTAGACAGACAACTCCACGGTCGTCTGGTACATCAACCATCTCGGGTCGACGGGTTCGGCGAACCTTCTTCAGTTGGCGTTTCGTTTCTTCCATCTAATCGACTCCCTCAACATCAATGCTCGAGACAGACACATTCCCGGAGTCAGGAATGTCATTGCACATGCACTCTCCTGCTCCGATCGGCTGTCTCCCACCGAGTGGCAATTGAACCCAAAGTTCTTTCGGGAAATGGTCTTCCCGTTATCAAGGCCCCAAGTCGACCTATTCGCCTCGCTGTTCAACCATCAGCTCCCGCTGTTTGTCTCGCTGATACCAGACCATCTCGTCGCTGCTCTGGCAATTTTGTGGGAGGGACTCAACGCTTACGCCTTTCCACCTCCGACTCTTCACCCAGAGTCATCAAGAAACTCCAAGCGACCAGGCAGATTCTATTGATTTTGGTCGCGCCTTACTGGCGAGTCAGGAGTTGGTTTGTCGATCTCACAGAGGTCGCAGACCTAAATCCAGTTTCTCTCCCCAACCGGGACGACCTACTGTAACACCCTCACTCGGATCGGCGTCATGTCTCCCTTCACACCCTGTCTCTGCACGTTTGGCGCATCTGCAGAAGTCCTTAATCGCCAAGGAGTATTCGCGGAGAGTGGCTATGGCCATCACTTCTGCTCATCGAACATCCACCTGCTCACTTTATGATGAGAAATGGAAATGTTTTGAGTGATATTGCTCGTCCAGAGGCATTACATCTCCTGTTTCTACTTCGCCTCAAATCGTTGCTGAGTTTCTGCGGCATTTGCAGTCGTCTAGGAAGCTCAAGGGCTCCACCTTGGCCACTTACCCTGCTGCAATCAACTCGGTCCTGGCTACCACCACAGGCTCTAAGGTCTCCACGGTTCCTGAGCTTCAGTATTTACTCCGGTCCTTCAAGTTGGCTGATCAGTCTAAGAAGTTTAGACCTCCTGCTTGGGATTTATCTGTGGTGCTACGTCATTTGGCCTCAGCGGACTATGAACCCCTAGCTCTGGAAGACTTTGAGAAGATCTCCTTCAAGACCTTCTTCCTTGTGGCTTTGGCTACAGCTGCTCGGATTCCTGAACTCCACGCTTTGGACGTTAACAAAGTCCAGTTTGAATGGAAAAAGCATGGCAAAGTCTTCCTCGGTCTCTGTTGGGATTCCGTAATGAAGAATCAGTTGCCGGGACAACCCGATCGTACTTTTACCATCGCACCGTTGTCCACGATCCTTGTGCGGCATGACAATGAAGACCTGCAGCTTTGCCCTGTTAGGGCTTTGAAGATTTTTCTTGCTGCCTCTAAAGATCCGATGTCCTCAACATCCAGGGCGGAAGTGTCTCGCACCAATTTATCCTTTTGGATGAGAGCCACCATCCTACGGGCTTACACCTTTGTTGGGTTACCGCCCCCGACAGCTTCCAATCCCCATGAGACACGGGCGTTAGCGTCTACAATGGCTCTTCATAGCAACTGCTCTCTTCACACCATTATGGAAGGATGTTTCTGGCAGTCCGATTCGGTCTTCTCTGCGCACTACCTTCGAGACCTCTCAGTCAAGGATGTCCAAGGCCTGCACCAGTTTGGACCCCTTGTGCTCACACAACAGTTGTCAACGGCCCATCAACGCAGACAGGAAACGGTCCCTCGCAGTTGCTGCTTCCCTGTATTTACTTGAATATAAGTCTGAACTTGCTGTCTGCCTTATGTTTTGATTGCTTATGGGTTAGAACTACTTCACTTAGTTTTATACTAAGACATGGAGATACTACCACCTTGGTGGTTGGAGGAATCTGGATCTCGATTCTGTATCACGATGTCGAAGGGTTCGACATTTCATGTTTCCTGACCTCTACTTTTCGAAGCAGTTATGTCAGTGAAGTGTGTCACTCCCGAATTCCAGTGGATTTCGTTGCGTTCTGACTCCAAAGTTGCCGGGCACATCCTTTGACTAAGCTTATGCAAAGGAGTGAGGGTCAATTTGATGCTGTTCTGGAACTGAACGTTAAAACCTGGAGTTCCCGAGTTGTGCTTCTCTTTCACCCGCCCCTGGTCGGTGTCTGTGGGGGTGTTCTCGAAGCAGGGGCTGGCCCTATTATTGTCAACCAACTTTAAATTATGGGGGTACCTTGGAAATCGTTGCGAAGTGACATCCTTTCTCGCTGAACTGAGTCCTTCTTCGGAGGTTGCGGCCGAACACCACATCGCTCGGGCGCACCCATCTCCCTGGGAGACATTGTGCTTAGTAAGCCAAGGAGTTCAAAAGAACTCAGCACAAGCATAGGAGTTGCGTGCATGGCCTCCCTTGTGCATCGCTCCCTACGGTTGTTTCCAGTCTACACAGCTCCTGCTGTTCGTACTGTCAAGACACAGGGTATCTGCATCCCGCCGTCCGACCGTGTGATAAGTGCATACCGTGTGATAGGACAAGTTTAAAAATTTGAAAATTTTAATATAAATTGTATATTTATACACTTATCCGCCCATCCTCCGTGCTATGCACATTCTCCAGGATGGATATTATCCAGTGGCTTCAAGAATGAGAATGATGATTCGGAGATAGTCACGTGGGCAGCTAGTGGTGCATGCCACATGCTTTGCATGAGAGCTAGGAAGCTGTCTTATAATGAGGGTAGCATGGAGTGCATGGGCGGATGGACAAAAGAGGCCTAAGGAAAAAAGTTTTCATCGTTCCACTCAGTGTCGAATCAAGAGAGAGAAGTGCATACCATGAGATAGGATAAGTATATAAATATACAATTTATATTAAAATTTTCAATATTGTTTGAGATTTTGATATGTTCACCTTTCCTTCAAGTGAATACAAGCTGAAGCACATGATAGACTTTGTGAGGAACCTGCCGTGCAATAATGTCAAGCCTTTGTCCACGGGGGCAGACATCTTGGAAGAGGGCGTGGTCAAGGCAATAGAAGAGGAGGTGGACAGAGTTAATGTGAGTGTTGTGTGTTCCTTCCACCCATTATATCATGAAAACTTCAATACATTGTAAGTGATCACTAAAGCTGTAACAAAACCACTTGCACTCTGTTGTTATGGTTGTAGGTGCATGTTGAAGTGGCGTACGACACATTCCTCTGTTGTTGATGGTTGTAGGTGAATGTTGAAGTGGCGTATGACACATTCCTCTGTTGTTATGGTTGTAGGTGAATGTTGAAGTGGCGTACGACACATTCCTCTGTTGTTGATGGTTGAAGTGAATGTTGAAGTGTCGTACGACACGTTCCTCTGTTGTTGATGGTTGTAGGTGAATGTTGAAGTGGCATACGACACATTCCTGTGTTGTTATGGTTGTAGGTGAATGTTGAAGTGGCGTACGACACATTCCTGTGTTGTAGATGGTTGTAGGTGAATGTTGAAGTGGCATACGACACATTCCTGTGTTGTTATGGTTGTAGGTGAATGTTGAAGTGGTGTACGACACATTCCTGTGTTGTAGATGGTTGTAGGTGAATGTTGAAGTGGCGTACGACACATTCCTCTATTGTTGATGGTTGTAGGTGAATGTTGAAATGCAGTATGACACATTCCTGTGTTGTTGATGGATGTATGTGAATATTGAAGTGGCGTACGACACATTCCTGTGTTGTAGATGGTTGTAGGTGAATGTTGAAGTGGCGTACGACACATTCCTGTGTTGTAGATGGTTGTAGGTGAATGTTGAAGTGGCATACGACACATTCCTCTGTTGATGGATGTATGTGAATGTTGAAGTGGCGTAAGACACATTCCTCTGTTGTTGATGGTTGTAGGTGAATGTTGAAGTTGCGTACGACACATTCCTGTGTTGTTATGTTTGTAGGTGAATGTTGAAGTGGCGTACGACACGTTCCTCTGTTGTTATGGTTGTAGGTGAATGTTGAAGTGGCATAAGACACATTCCTGTGCTGTAGATGGTTGTAGGTGAATGTTGTAGTGGCGTACGACACGTTCCTCTGTTTTTGATGGTTGTAGGTGAATGTTGAAGTGTTGTATGACACATTCCTCTGTTTTTATGGTTGTAGGTGAATGTTGAAGTGGCATACGACACATTCCTGTGTTGTAGATGGTTGTAGGTGAATGTTGAAGTGTTGTATGACACATTCCTGTGTTGTTATGGCTGTTGGTGAATGTTGAAGTGTTGTACGACACATTCCTCTGTTGTTGATGCTCGTAGGTGAATGTTGAAGTGTTGTACGACACATTCCTGTGTTGTTATGGTTGTAGGTGAATGTTGAAGTGGCATACGACACATTTTTCTGTAGTAGATAATTGTTTAAGTCTGTCTTTTTCTTTCAGGAGGAAAACAGGAGAAACAGAAGAAAGTCAAGATGCAAGTGAAACCTCATTTGTTGTTCAGAGTAAGTATAAGTGACTTAATGTGATGCTAATAATCTGGAACCAAATGGTCATTTATTTTTCCTTATCCTGATTCATGCTTATTTCTTGTCTCCCTTTCCTTCCGAATGCTAGTGGAACACTTGAATACCCTTTTGAAGCTCCCTTAAAAAAAACGGACGTAAAATCACTCACCAGGTGTTATCTCCCTTCCCAAGGTTTTGGCGGGAAATGGCGCCACCTGTCACCATGCTCCTCACTCTCTCCTTCTTCGCCCGAGTGACGGTTGTGAGAGCGCCTGTGTCCCCTATAAGGCACTATATCCTTGTCTAATTTAGGCTGTTACTAAATTAGCTGTATAAGGCTTTAGGAATCGTTTACCAACAATATGGTTTGAAATTATTTGTCAATTTTGTCTTATTTTTCACATTTTTACGTGAGTGTTCAGATTGTTTACAAGTTGATGAAATCTTATATTCTTTGTAGGTACAGATTGTCTGCTGCTGATCCACACATATTATGTCCTAACTGCAAGCCTGCGTGTTCTTTCAGCATTCGCTGTTTGTTGTGTTTTCACCTGTCCGATTTTGAATTTAATAAATATTCATATTATCTGTTTAGACGTGCAAGGGACAAATCCAGATGAATTTTACAAGACATGTCTAAACCGGCTAAGCTTGCAGAGGACCGTCAGTTGGTGTCTGCGCAGATCACCATTCCAGTGGTCTACCGGGGTCGTCAACGGAGGATGTTGCTGTCTTAGACATCAACTCTGGCTCGAGGAAGAGATCGTTTACATCTTATAATTTCTCATCGCAGTCCAAGAAGACTAAGGCATCACATTCCCAGAGGAAGAAGTCTACTGTATCTAAGACTTCGCCGAAGTCTCCTTACGGGGCAAATCAGAAGTCAAGGTTCTCTCCAGCTGATTTCGTCCCCCTTGAGGAAGTAGATGTCTACGATGAACCTCCCATCCTCATCCCTGAGATCACGACTAAGAAGAAGGCATCTTCTACCGTGACGTCTGCAGCCATCTCTACGGCAGACAACACATCAACGCAGACATCGGGTTTTGAGAGAGGTACTACGGCCTTTGAAAGGAAGCCTCATCACTCACAGAACTTCTACCTGGGCTCCTTTATGCAGCAATTCACCCAGCAGATGTTGGACCTAATGGAACAACGGTTCGCACAGGAGAGAGCTGCGACGAAGACGCTGTCAACGATGAACCTGCGTGAAAGACAACTGATCAGCGCTTCACGTCCCGTGGAAACTAACAACCTATGAAGCCTGCACGATGATTCCAGCATGTCTACGATGTCTGCACGAAGGTCCGACGAACCTACCACCGCTAACAGATGCTAACAGTCATCACGAACCTACACGCAAAAGTTTGTCATCAAGGAGAAGAGAATCTACACCTGCTCGAAGGCTTAGAGATTCGTCACAAGACACCAACCCTCGTCAAAGCCTCTCACCTACGCGCAGATTTTCCCGAAGACATTCACGAACATTTTCATCTCCACGTAGATCTCCACGACAGCGTTCTCGAACGCATTCGCGAACGTATGGATCACCACGACGTTCTCCACACAGGTCCCCATACAGATCTCCACACAGGTCGCCACGTAGATCTTCTCACAGATCTTCTTACAGATCGCCGCGTATGGACGACTCTATACGACGTCAATCCTCAGAGCATGAGACTGCTAAATCGGAAGACGACGGCGGCGTTATCTTCTCCGACTCAGAGATCAAGTCCTGGATGGCCAATGACCTGGAACTTGCATCACCCTCCAAGGAGAACAATGAAGCACACTTGTATCTGATGTTGAATGATGATGTAGACATTCTTACGCTGCTACCCATTGATCAGGTCTCAGACGTACCAGACAACCTCAGAACAGCCTTTAAGAAGGCAACCAAGTTCCAGACTCTGAGTATTCCGTCTTTCAATGCAAAGAAGTTCTCTCTACACCATATGGAACCCTTCCTGAAGGCCCCAGAGAAAGACGAGAACTAATAAATCATCAACGACTCTCGGACAAAATCTTACAAGATAGACGACAAAAACTTGGCACAATTCGACACAATGACCAGACGAACCTTTTTCGGCTTAGCCAGATCAAGAGCTGTCAACGAGACCCTTATAGCGAAGTTTAGAAACTCAACTTCAGAGGAAGATCGGATGATCTATTCAGCGCTACTCACACAGAAAAAGGCCATCAGTTCATGTCTGAACACATAGCTTCCATTTCGGTGGGATTGACGCTGTCAAGAAGGCAAGGCCTCCTATCTTCCAGCACTTGGAGCGAGAAATTTACCAAGACACTTTACAGAGCCCCATGGTCAGCGCCATCCATCTTCGCAGGTGAAATTGATGAGGTCGCCAAAGAAGTCTCTAAAGACTTGCGAGAGAAGTAATGATGATCAAGTCTATTGATACACTGGCCAGCGTTATACGCCAGACGTCCCAACGCTATTCCGGCAAATCAAAGTTTGCAGGCATACAGAGAGCAAGGGAAAAGCAATTTTGCAACACTAAAGGAAGCAAGGATTCTTTTCATCGCCCATCCGGAACTCCAAGGGGTAACCTGGGAAGAGGCCGACCCTTTAGAGGTGCCAGATATACTAGACGATGAAGAACTGGTTCGGAACGACTGGAGTCTTCCACCCCCAGCCGTTCCAATACAACCTTCACAAGTGGGTGGATGTCTACAACACTATTGCAAGAATTGGGGAATTCTTCAAGACAACTTCGTATCTCAGATCCTACGCAAAGGTTACAGGATACAGCTACAAGCAGTTCCACCAGTAACAATCAATCCACAGACCCACAACTACGCTGTAGACCAGAAGGGAAATCTGCTAGAAGCCATCACATCTCTACTAGAGAAGGAGGCAATCGAACAGATAAACCAGAAGTGCGTCACACCCGGTTTTTACTACCCAATTTTTCTTGTTCCAAAGAAAAACTCCAAAGAAAAATTCCCACTCATCTTCAACATGAGGAAATTCAACAAAGATTATCTACTAAAACCCGAAAAGTTCAAAATGATACATCTGCCTCAACTGCGACATCTCATACGTCCGTTAGATTACCTCGCCAGCATAGACTTACAGGATGCATACTTACACATCCCGATCCATCCGGAATCAAGGAGATATCTACAATTCCTCTTCAACGGACGTCATTTCAAATGGAAGGTCCTGCCATTTGGAATATCGTCCGTCCCCTGGTTGTTTACTCGAGTGACAAAGCCCTTCAGTATATACCTACATCATCGAGTGTTTTACCTAGACTACGGGATTCAAGCTCAGCAAGAATCCAGTCAACTCAGGCTACAACTGAAATTTTTCCTTATCCTGACTCATGTATTATTGCTTGTCTCCTTCCCTTCCCGAACGTTAGTGGAACACTTGTGTCTCCTTTTTGAAGCTCCCTTTCAAAAGAGCAGACGTAAAATCACCACTCACCATGAGTTATGTCCCTCTGGTTTTGGCAGGAAAACAGCGCCACCTGTCTGTCTTCCCACGCTTCACTCTCTCCTTCTTCGCCCTAGTAGACGGTTGGGAGAGCGCCTGTATCTCCAATACGGCACTATATCCTTTGTTTAATTAGTTATTGCCCTATAAGTTACCTTTATAAGGGAGTATTCTTCTACAATATGGTTTGAAAATTATTCATGTTTTTTTACGTGATTGTTCAGTTGTTTACATTTCATGAAAACCTTTTTTCGTTGTAGGTTATCTGCTGCAGACCCGCATTTACTGTGCCCAGTTGCACAACAATATGTACTTCCAGCTCTCGCTGTAACTTATGTCAGCAATTAACACAAATTCAATTATTATTTCTCTGTACTTAGGTGTGCTAAGGATAAATCCAGACGACTTTTGCAAGTCATGGATAAACCGGCTGAGTCCCTCAAGAGCTGTCTATCGTTGTCAGACGACATACTTCCATCCAGTGACCTGCCGGAGGCGTCCTCTGACATGGGCGTGGGATGATGTCCGCCATTACATGGACAACTCCTCAACCCATACGAAGAAGAGGCCATCTTCAACGCAGAAGAAGCCTTACACCCCTAAGACTTCAAGCAGCTCAACGGGGAGTTCTTCGCAGATTACGAGGACCTTTTTCAGCCGAAATCGTTCCGATGGAAGAGAGAGGCCTTATGATGAGCCGCTGTTGATCATCCCAGAGATACAGCATAAGAAAGGAAGCAGGCCTCAGCAATGGTAACGTCAGCAGCCCTATGTACGCAGTTCGAGTTACCTTCTACACTGACAGCAGAGATCCATGAGGCACAGCGATCCTTGGACCATATCGCTACCATCTCAGATACGACATCTCTACAATCGTCGCAGACATTCAACCTCGGGGCCTTAATGCAGCAATTCTCTCAACAGATGATGGAGATGATGGAGAAGCGATTCGCGCAGGAAAGAGCCTCGCATGATTGACAGCCAGGCGGCTCTCATGCTCAAGTCATCAACCTCAGAGAGGATCCAGACCTGCACGAACGACCCCATACTGATGATACATCTGAGAGGCCCACCAGAGAATCTAGCTCTAGGACTAAGAGCAGATCTACGCTACATGACGTCAGCAAATCTGCGCGCAGGACGGCACGCTCTTCAGAACCAATGAGATCGTCATCAGATGATGAGGCTAATGAAGAACCTTCACGCAGGCTACCCACTTCGCAGAGAAAGAAACCTACACCACCTAGAAGGTTGAGAGAGACGTCTCGGGACTCAGACCCTCAAACAAAATCTCTCACCTGCGCGAAGGTCATCTGAATTATCTTCTACAGCGTCAACAACAAGATCGTCACGGGAGTCACCACTTAGGAATACATTGTTAAGTGACCTGCCCGAGGCGTCTTCAGAAGATGGGCGTGGGATGAGGTCCGCCATTACGTCGAAGAAAATATCTTCTACGTCGAACAACTCCTCAACCCATACGAAGAAGAAGAGGCCATCTTCATCGCAGAAGAAGCCTTAGGGGTGTAAGAGATCA